TTCAAAAATGGAAAGTTGAGTGCAGAGCTGACGGCCTCGTGCCAATGCATTTTGCGATTTTTCCAGTCCACCTGTCTAAAGTACTGCGCCTGCCACGAAAAAGTGATGCCAGGTCATACGAAGTGCTGCACCTATCACGCAAAACCATCTCAGCAAACCTGAAGATCTGACGCTCCAAAATGTAACCCATCTCAGGAAATCAGCGCCCGGACTTCCTAACAGCTCTGATGAACATGTCTCTTGTACTGCGCCTGCCACGGAAAATGCATCTTTGCAGATCCTCTTCAAATGTCCCACGCCTGCCATCGTTTTTGGAAATGCTACAAAACCCTCACGTTTTGCTCACCTTTGACAAGGTGCACAATCCCTTGCGCCTGCCATGTGAAACGACATCTGAACGCCCAAAAGTGGTCCGAACATCTAGTGTTTTTAACATTTTGACTTCGAAATGTGCTTCGGCGTGCACTTTTTCGACAGCTCAACTTCCAAAAGTGGTCCGGACCTGGTGTGTTTTTGTGCATTTTGACTTCGAAATGTGCTTCGCGCCACAACAGCGTGCACTTTTTCGACATCTCAACTGCCAAAAGTGGTCCGCAGCTGGTGTGTTTTGTGCATTTTGACTTGCAAATGTGCTTCGCGCCACAACGGCGTGCAATTTTTTATCTCTCATCTGGCCAGCTGGCTCCGCACCCGCCACTTTAGCGAGCCTACTTTTCGACCATCCGGAGCCTCAAATCATTGGAAAAACACAGTGTTTTGCGACTTTCCTACCTTTTCGCGCACCTGTCTGCTGACTCTTTCTCTTTCTTCTTCTCTTCTCTTCTCTTCTCTTCTCTTCTCTTCTCTTCTCCTCTCTTCTCCTCTCTTCTCTGACTCTTCCCATCTCTGCTTTTCATCTGTCCATATTGTCGGAAGTTTGACTTCTAAACTTCCTTCGAGAATGACCTTAAAAAACCAATAGAAAAGTAAGCCTCTACTTTGGAATCTGATCTTGCCAGCCATTGATAGATTCTTTATATAAGATGTTTCTACCCCCTTTTCTGGTGCTTGCTTAAACTGTCACATCTTTGCCCTGGAGCTGCCCTGTGGTGGCCAGGAGAACCTTCGACCAGTCCCACGGGTCGACAGCGGCAGCACTGAGGACGGCACGGGTCTCGCGGAGGTTGACGCGGTCGACGCGGCGGCCCTGCTGAGCCTAGAGGAAGACTGTCTCAGGCACCTGGGGGACCATGGGACTATGGGACCTATGGGACCATGGTTAATTGGGGTTGTGGATTTCAAGCAGGGAAAGCATGTGATGATGTGTTATGATAATTTATCATATACATAGTCATATATATATATAATTATATATGACTAAGTATACGTCATGATACATACATATATAATCATATATATATATATGTCATGATACACCATGACTTTGGTGCGGATTGGTTGAAGTTGATATGAAATTGGGATTGAACCAGCAAGAAGTGGCGAACACCGGGGATTGAACCCGTGAAATCCAGGGATACATTATGGAAATTGAAGATTACGTCCATTATATTCTAATCTGAGAAAAAGGATGAACAATGGGCATTCATCTACATAGGGGCTCTACTTATTCTGAAAAAGACCGGTGGAACTGAGCAATCATAGCAACAAAAGACTCACAAAATCAAGGGGCAAGAGTTGGGGTCATGGATCTTGGCTTCGGATGGTGCCATGCCAGCGAGCATCATCGTTCAGGAAAACTGCGGATAGGATCACTACCACGACCGCCACGACCGCAGAGTTCTTTAATGTTCTTTACAAACAAATTCGAGGTCAGATCTGTGAAAATCGTGAGCCGGCCATGTACCTACAATTCTTTCAAGAGAGTTCAGATGGACACCTCCTATTGTTTTCGCTCCCATGAAGGATTCATGCAACTTTCCAGTCAGCATTGACATCCACGGGGGTCCGCAGAAAAGGATGCAGCGGGACAATTGCGGATCCGCCTAACACGGAGGTCAAGGATGAGGCAATGAATGTGACCTCCACAGCCACAGCTTCAACAAGAGGCTGCTAATGTTTGCAACCCGGACTCATGAGGGAGGTCGAGGCGCTGTGGACAAACTCCAAGCGAGAGCTGCCTGAGGGGAGGCCTCAGTGTTGCAATGGGTTGGCGGCAGATCTCGTCCATTCACACATTCACACATTTTCAACTCTTCCCGTCCGTCTTCTTTGCCAATTTGTACACAATATGAAGTGTATAAAGTGGCGTGCTTCCACAAGGGAATGCTTTACATAAACTAACCATTTCTTTGGTAGAACGTTGGTTTTTCTTTTGGATCAAATGGATTAGAATATGAACCCATTGGTGAACTATTGGAATTCAGCCAGTAATACTTTAAGATTGCTGATGTCGCGATCTCCTCATTTAAGGATATTTAAGGATGATTGTCCGACATTATCCCGATTTTCAAGGAAGTATGCAGCCAGATAACTTGTGCTGAATAGACTGGCTAGATCATATATGAATTATACGTATACCAGTACTACCGCACAAGGCGGTGGCGGAAGTTTCAAAAATAGGAAACCTATAGGAGAGGTTGGTTGCTGTGAATCACGGATGGCAGAGTGAAGCCATTGATGGACCGAAAGGTGGTTGGAGCTGTGTTTTTTGGAGTGGCTGCAATGGTTGCAGTGGTCACCTGGTCTTTCACCTCACCCCCAACTGCTGGATGTAGTGTAGTGTGGTGTGGTGTGGTGTAGTGTGGATAGTGTAGTGTAGTGTAGTGTAGTGGAATGTAGTGTAGTGTAGTGTAGTGTAGCGTAGTGTAGTGTGTAGTGTCTAGTGTGTAGTGTGTAGTGTGTAGTGTCGTGTAGTGTAGTGTGGATGTGTCGTGTAGTGTCGTGTAGTGTAGTGTAGTGTCGTGTAGTGTAGTGTAGTTAGTGTAGTGAAGCTGTAGCTGTAGTTGTAGTTGTAGCTGTCGTTGTAGTTGTAGTTGTAGCTGTAGCTGTAGTTGTAGTGTAGTGTATTGTAGTTGTAGTTGTAGTTGTAGTTGTAGTTGTAGGTGTAGTGCAGCGTCATTCAGTGTAGCGTAGTGTAGTGTAGTGTAGTGTCGCGTGTACTGTGGTGTAGTGTAATTGAGTGTAGTGTACTGTAGTGTAGTGGAGTGTGGTGTAGTGAGGTGTAGTGTGGTGTAGTGGAGTGGGGTGTAGTGTAGTGTACTGCAGCGTAGTGTAATGTAATTAGTGTAGTGTAGTGTAGTCTAATGTAGTTGTAGCTGTAAGTAGTGCGATGTAGTGAAATTGGTGTAGTGTAGTGTAATGCCTTCATCGTAGTGTAATGTAATGTAGTGTAGTTGCAGTTGCAGTTGCAGTTGTAGTTTTAGGTGTAGTGCAGCGTCATTCAGTGTAGTGTACTGTAGTGGAGTGTAGTGTAGTGTAGTGTAATTAGTGTAGTGTAGTGTAGCGTAGTGTAAATGCATTATTGTTGTTGTAGTTGTAGTTGTATTTGTAGTTGTAGTCGTAGTTGTAGTTGTCGTTGTAGTTAGTGTAATGTAGTGTAGTGGAATGTAGTGTAGTGTAGTGGAATGTAGTGTAGTGTAGTGGAATGTAGTGTAGTGTAGTGTAATTGAGTGTAGTGGAGTGTAGTGGAGTGTAGTGGATTGCAGTGTAGTGTAGTGGAATGTAGTGGAGTGTAGTGTAGTGTAGTGGAGTGTAGTGTAGTGTAATGTAGTGTAGTGTAGTGGAGTTTAGTGTAGTGTAATGTAGTGTAGTGTAGTGTAATGTAGTGTAGTGTAATGTAGTGTAGTGGAATGTAGTGTAGTGTAGTGTAGTGTAGTGTAGTGTAGTGTAATTGAGTGTAGCGGAGTGTAATGTAGTGTAGTGGAATGTAGTGCAGGTGTAGTTGTAGTTGTAGTGTATTGCAGTGTAGTGTGGTGTAAGGTGGTGGTTGTAGTTGAAAATGCTACAATACCCTCATGTTTTGCTCACTTTTGACAAGGTGCACAATCCCTTGCGCCTGCCACACGACACGACATCTGAACCTCCAAAAGTGGTCCGAACCCCTTGTGTTTTTAACATTTTGATTTCGAAATGTGCTTCGTGCCACAAGGCCATGCACTTTTTCGACATCTCACCTTCCAAAAGTGGTCCGGACCTGGTGTGCTTTGTACATTTTGACTTCGAAATGTGCTTCGCGCCACAACAGCGTGCACTTTTTCGACATCGCAACTTCCAAAAGTGGTCCGAACATCTGGTGTTTTTAACATTTTGACTTCGAAATGTGCTTCGCGCCACAACGGCGTGCAATTTTTCATCTCTCATCTGCCCAGCTGGCTCCGCACCCGCTGCTTTAGCGAGCCTACTTTTTGACCCTCCGGAGCCACAAATCATTGGAAAAACGCAATGTTTCGCGACTTTCCTACCTTTTCGCGCACCTGGATCTTCTTTCTTCTGAGACTTTCTCTTCTTGATCTTGTTTCTTCTTCTCTTCTCTTCTCTTCTCTTCTCTGACTCTTCCCATCGCTGCTTTTCATTTGTCCATATTGTCGGAAGTTTGACTTCTAAACTTCCTACGATAATTGTCTATATATACGCACACACATATATATATATGGACCATCATATATTTTGCGGTTATCCGGTTTTCCCACATATACGGACCATTTTTGTGTTATGTATGGATTATTGTGTTTATCCCATATCAAAGATCACAACAGATCATAGGATAAAACATGACAAAACACAAAAACCTGATTAATTTCAACATATTCACTATCGTATCGAGTATATTTTGTGGTTATCCCCTTATCCCGTATATGGAATACGAACTGATATATCGATATTGTTAAACCATGCATATGGGAAAAAATGGATATGAGATATGATATATACGTATATATGTATGATGGATCATTACAGGATTACAATAGATATAAATAGAAAACATATATCCCCCCATATATGGGATTATGCACCTATTCATTGATCCTACATTTTGATCAACCACAGAGTGGCCGCTATAGGGCCGATTCCGTAGAGCTCCTCAGCTTTGATGCGGAGCCGCTCGAGAGAAGGCCGCTTTGGGACGTGTTGGCGATGTCACTTCGACATGGACGTCAGCTATGTGGGAAATCATCGAAATGTATTTGGGTAAATTGTGTACATAGATAGATAGATAGATAGATAGATACATAGATAGACAGATAGACAGATAGACAGATAGACAGATAGACAGATAGACAGATAGACAGATAGACAGATAGAAAGAAAGATAGAAAAATAGAAAGAAAGAAAGAAAGAAAGAAAGAAAAAAAGAAAGATAGATAGATAGATAGATAGATAGATAGAGAGAGAGAGAGACAGAGAGATCGAGAGATGGATGGTTTGATGGATGGATGGATGGATGGATGGATAGATAGATAGGGAGACAGACAGGCAGACAGCCAGACAGACAGACAGACAGATAGATAGATAGATAGCGGGGCTCTATACCACCCTTGGCTGCCGGTCTGCCAGGTCAGCTTTAAAGCTGAAGGAGGAAGGAAATTCCTTGGTGCCTGGTCATTGAAACATGTGTAAGAAGCTTTGGAAACGAGGAGAGGAGTGACCACGGCATACTGTGTAACATTTTGCAACCATTTGTCAATGTAAGACATTATATTGTGTACGTATGTATAACATATTGTATATAGATAATATATATATATATTTACACACATCTTGAGGAATACTGTGTAACATTTTGCAACCATTTGTCAATGTAAGACATTATATTGTGTACGTATGTATAACATATTGTATATAGATAATATATATATATATTTACACACATCTTGAGGAATCAGAAGGAGACAAACCAAGAAGGCTCTCAAAAACTCGTCTTTCAACCTCAATGCAACAGCAATGTTTGTTGGGCCCCCATTGTTTTTGGCCCATGCTTTTTGGCTTGACAAACTGCCAAGCCAGACCCCAATTGTGTTGGTGAATTCCTTGTTTCTTGCCAACAATATCTGGATTTTTGCAGATCAACTTGCGATCTCTGTTGGTTCCATCACCATTGGCTGCTTCTATCCCCCCCTCGCTGGTCAAATGTCCATTTCTGTCGGTTCTACCAAGGTGCGTTGCAAGAAGTTCCAGGAAGCGATACAGTGCTACGAGGCGCCTCCGGATGCACGGATCTATGATGGTGTTTGGGTTCTGGCTGGTGGTTTCAAATACCGAGCAAACATGCTGACTGAAAATGTGGAAAAATGTGGTGGTTTCAAATATATGTGTCATTTTGATTCATTTTGCATAAAATGTTCCATCCCCCTAATATGAAACATGTCCTAAATGGTGCCAATTATGTGTGAATCCCCCTACTAAACCATGGTTTCTGGGGCTGTGTTTAATATTAGGGGGAGGGGATTATTTCCATCCAAAAAATGGAATGGTGATCTCCAATTGCCCAGCATATTTTTCGCAGATTCCAAGCGCCAAACAGTGATTTATTTCCACCACCTGGAACATGCATGAACCAAGACTAGTCTATGAGTGGAGTGACCTTTCTCCAGGGCCAAATTTCAGTGGTCCAAGTTGCCACCAGCGGCGTTCAAATTCTGAGCATCTGAGATCAGGGAAGACCCTGACTGCCTATCCCGATCCTGGAGGTTTATAACTGGGAAAATCATCTACCATAGCTGGGAAAAACATATGGTTATAGTGAACATCTATAGTGGTTTATTTCCCTGGCCACGTTTGATTTCTGGAGGCTGCGGAGGGTAAAGGTATTTTGCCAATCTTTTGACCAATGCCCCTACGCCACGACGGTAGGGACACGCTTCCAATGGGATCTTGGTAGGGGCTGTCTTTGGCTACGATTCCTGGTTCCATCGAGCAACACATGCATTGGTGGAAAAACATAATACTAAAAATATATTTATCAATGTATGCACACCTGGAATTCAATTGAACCTTTTTGGACGATTTCACCCCTTAGGGTGGAAGATGCTCCATCTATTGTGAAGGTCGTTGGGTTCCAAGCATGTACATACATGTATTGTACATCTTATTTCCGCATACTGCGTTTATCTAAGTATAACTATAACTATATATATATCTACATCTATATCAAAATCTAAATCTATATCTCTATCTACATCTACGTATATATATATATTATTTACGTATCTATGCCAGTGTCTACTAACTATATATATACACACACCATTGCACACCTATAACATCCACTATTTGATATGACATGTCTAATATGTATGTATATATATATACACACGAAGATTAATGTCTAATATTTGTTACATCTAAAAGTAACATCTAAATCTACATCTATTTGCATACGTATCTCTTTATCTATATACGTCTATATTCATACACATACACATGTCTACACACACATTATACATACATATATATATATATATACATACAAACACAGTATATAATTATAATATATATATATATATTACACATGCACACGCACATATGTTGAATTTGGCATCTGAAATTTTGCTGCATCTTCGGTTCATTCCACGTATCGCACCTCTTGCACACGCTGGGCAAGGCTGCAATCGTGGCATTAGATATTGAGGGGGGCACGGAACAGGCGCAAGCTGGCAAGGGTGGCAGCGCCACTGATCCAAATGGGTCTGAAAATGGGGGATGCGACCCCAATTTCTGGCAATTTTCATGCGGAAAATGTGATTTTAAACCATTATACTCGATTTTCAGAATTCGTAATTCGGGGCTGCCCTTTCGGATTTCCTCCGATTTTCCAGCCGTCGGTTGAACTCGCCAAACTGTGCTTCTACACTGACCTAAGGCAATGCATTTCAAGTCGCAGAGACATCCCTGACTGGGTCTGATATTTTCTCATCTTTTTGAGCTAAACATCACCGTTCAAATAGTGATTATACAGCCATGGTTATATAACTCCCCGTTCATATGAGACAGTTCTGGAACCCTGTTGTGCCTGGGTCATTTTACTCGAGGTCCTTTGTCCGTGTTTGGCTGGCCAGAACCCAATTTTTTCACTGCTCACGTCATCTCAAAATCACCAATTTTGGATCAGTTGGTTTCATTCGGTTCCAGCCCCATCTTTCATCATCTTTCTTTCCAATGGTTTTCCATGGTTTTCCCTTGACGTCCTGGAAGCATAAGATCAACTTTCCCCATGGTTTCCCCATTGGATCCCGGGCAGGCGCTCCTCTCTGCGCTCCATGCCAATCTGGCGTTGTGCCATCTGCAGCTGGAGGCGATGGGTCGTGGAGAGTTTTGTTGATGTTTTGCTATGAGTGGGGATATGACATGACATGATATGACATTGACATGACATTGATATGACATTGATATGACATGATATGATATGATATGATATGATATGATATGATATGATATGTATAATGATATACATATGTGTGTATATGTAGATCTTGATATATAGTGAATGATATATTTCAAGACTCAACCGGGATTTCTAGGGTGTTTGTGATTGGAGAGAGACCAAGGTCACAGGCCGCCGAAGATGGAAGAAATCCTGGACCACCTGGGATGGTAGGAAGCCACAGAAAGCCTATAAATAATAGGGTAAACCACCTATCAACTGGTGCAGGATTTCTTTCATCCACAGTATGTTTTGATGATCCCAGTGTGTTTTGAAATTGTGTTGCCTCTTCACAGGCTGAAAGTAGACCGTTCCATTTCAGATGATGTGATCACCAAAGGCAAGGACCTGACATTTTTTAAGGATTCAAACAGCATTTCATCAACCTCCAATTTCGGTACTATTCATGGGTAAGCCTTGAACGATGGTTATGTATGTATATACTGTGTATATAAATATATATGTATACACATATAATTAGATACATGCATATTCTATGTTTGTTCCCCATAGATAACATTTCAAGGGGTTCCTCAGTTTTTTTGTGGCTGAAAACTTCCCCGCCACGTCAGTCGTACCGCCCTGCTCACGATGCAGCGACTCGGAGCTTAGAACTGGACCCGAAAAACATGAAGGCCATTCGAGCTGGGAGGTGAATTTGTGCCTCTAAACTCCTGGGATCTCCTGGGATCTCCTGGGATCTCCTGGGATCTCCTGGGTAATTCTGTATGTATATGGCATTGTATAATATTAGACGTATGTGGTGCTGTGTGATACTGTGTGTTTTCTTTAGAGGAATATTTCCTGGCGGGCTCTGTAGCATTTGGACGGCAATCTTTTCACCAAATGATTGCTGGTGACCGTGACCGGCAAAGGCTTGGCAAGGTTCTCCTCAAGTCAAATGGTCATTGCTGCACTTGGTGGTTCTAGGTTGTCCAATTTGGCCAGGATTTTTATTGCTATGAAGCTGAAACTTTTTCTTTTTTTTATTTTTTTATTTTTTCTATGTTTTTCTAGCGTTTCCTGGTTTTCCAATCCTTTCTGGCGATGCGCACATCAGCTGGGAGGCGTTGTACAGACGCTGTTTGGCACACAAGGGATTGGAGATGTGGGACGAGGCCGCGCTGATCCTGGAAGACAGATAGAATGTTGGATGACGACGGCTTTTTTGGTGAATTTTGCAGAGGAATAGTTGACGTCCTACTAAACATAAGCTTGTTTGAGTGTATCCAAGATGAAACATTTTGAACATGTTTTTGGAGGTCTTGCAACCTGGGTTAGCTATCCCTCAAATTCTGTTGAATCAGTCTTGGTTGCTGCCTGGGTCAATCAAGATCTCTTTGAGAGAAAGCAGAAAATCCCACCCATGAGAATCATGGAATCATATGGAATCATGGCATGGAATCAACAAACAACGCCATGATTCTCTCAGAAACCTTGCTGTGGATCTCTGGCTCCAACGAACAGCTCCATTTTTGAACCAATTTTGAGCCAAACACAGCCCGTCCCGGGCCCAGAGGGCGCCCAGAGGACCGTTCCCTTGACATGGAAGTACATAGGGTTTATACTGGGAGAGAATGGGAAAATCAATGAACATCAGCTATAAATGGATACAAATGGGGACATTTACTTGGAGATATTTCAACAATGTGATGTATGGATGTGTCTGAAAACGGGAATGTTACCTCCAATTGATGGCAAGTTCAATATGGAACATGGTGATAAACCAGGGGATTTGGGGGTACCCAATTTTCAGACAAACGCATTTTCGAAACTGATGGACAACGTGCAGGGGAATTTGGTTGCTGATTCCAACTATGATGTTGGGCCCGTGCCATGATAATTTGTCCACAGTCGCAGTTTGTTGAGATGTTTCTTGGTGATTCTCCATGACGTGTGGTATTCTCTGACAAGCCAACTTTCATTGCAACGGAAAGAAGAAAATCCATTATATATATAATTATATATATATATAATTTTATTTTTTCCCCGGTTCCTGGATGGCTAGATGGTGTGTCTTTCTTGAAAGGGGCGCAAACGCACAGAATTTTCCTCAAACGGCCCTGAGGTCCCAATTTTAGCCAAGCCCATGCCCACGCCTGGGGCCCAGCTGGCATGTCGGAAACGGCGCGGGCTCCATTGGATCAAGGGGTTATGAGGTATGACTTGAAAAGGTGGTGAAATCGTGGTAACACGTAATAACTCCATCCAAGAATTGATATGTTTCTAGATTTGTAAGGAAATTTAGGCGGATTGATTTGGAACATTTTACACAATCGATAAATCGTACAACCATTCTGAGCCAATGGCCCAATCTATCGTGGAAAGCAGTGGATCGCCATCCAACTGGCTGAAAGCCTGACCGATGGTATCGAATCACCGCCAAACAGTATCACCAACACGTGTGCCCCCTCTCAGCTTTACACATGTAGGGACTAAGATTACATAAAATTACAAGGTTCCCGAAGTGGTATGAAAATTATAAAAAGTGATTCACTCCGACTTTGTTTGGGGTTTACCCTCTTCACACAAAGACACTCTTCGGTGACCACTATTATCAATGATCCATTCAGGCACCCAATTTGGAGGTACCGTGCAATATAAGGCGATTGTATATGCCCTTACATAGGCTGTACAAAAGCTTGTACATTACACACCTTACTTATTTTACGTGCTTCCAATATGCAAATAACATCAAACAATATGGTATCTGTTTGGTACAGTGCTTCCAATTCAGGTATATACCTGCAACATTTTTTTTGCATCAGCCACTTCGGAGACCTGCACCAAGGACCACGCTCTTGGAAATTCAGGGAGAGTTTTTTGGCCATGACCTTCGCTTTGGGCTTTCTTAAAGTTGAGCTACCCCAAAAACTATTGGTTTGCCCATTCAATTTGTTTGTTGGATGATAACTTGCGGTCCAGAAAAAAAAGAACCCCATCCTGCGCAGCTGTCAGTTCAGAGAAGTGGGAACAGAAAAGCCTGGTGAATGGGTCAATATCCATGTTCTATGAGACCATGAGAATTGTCGGATGAACATCCAACCAAATTGTTCCCACCTGCAGTCCTGCTATTGCGGGGTTGGTTTGAAGTTGGTTCAGAACGTGCATTGCCATCAAATACATAGTTCAGGTTAAAAAGGGTAAGCTCCATTGAAATGTTGTATATGTGGTAGCTGTATGTATACCTATTGATTATGTATGGACAGTGTGTAGGATCTGTGTGCGTATATATATACACATAATATATAATATGTATGTATATATCTACATGTCCATACCATAAAATGTACATTATCAATATAAATGCTTACTGGATATCCTATATGTATGACCATCGTATCAGTCATCCATCCACGGGCAAGCTGAACCTTTGACTCATTCGGGGGAAAATCGAGGCTGCAGGGTCCTTTGGTTGTGAGACTCGGCGCGATGTGGACCACAGAACTGGTCATGTTCTGTACTGTATCAGATCCACGGGCTTTTGAGGGGCTCCCGATTATTTGAGCCGTACCCAAACAATGATGAGCATGAAACAAAAACCAGCAACACTCAGATACTGAATACTGAACTTTCTTTTTTTGCGGGGGTCATCATTTTCAGCTGTACCCAGATCTTGATCATTTTTGGTTATGGCAGCTTCAAATCCTTCGGGTACCAAGTTGTAAGAGTCACTACCCCCGACCAGAAGTTTCTAGTGAACCAGATGCTTGCTTTGATGCAGGGGACATATTGTGGCATCCCCAAATCAACACCCCTGTTGAATCCCTTTGTGATGCCGATTCTTTTTCCAAAACATCTTCCACAGTCTCTTTTCTTCCGGGTTTCATGCAGATTTCCAAGGGCAGGGATGCTGGGGATGAGTGGTTCAACCGGGACCCAGGAAGAACACGTTCATTGACGAGGATGCGAGCGACCATCAGAGTCGCAAGCGTTGGGCCACGGCTCCTGATACCATGCAGCTTGGTGGCCTTGGTGTGGAAGATGAATCTGGTGGATTTCTAAGCATTCATAAATTATTTTGATTTATTTTGGACGTCGGAGGATGTTGGAGGCACTATTTATATAGATCTATTTACGGGTAAGTGATCTATTTACGGGTAAGTGGGGCGATATGGCGGCGATATGGCCACTGCACGGATACTTTTAATTGATCTATCCTAGCGACAGCTAGCAAGCTGCAGGCCCGCAGAAAACATCCACAGGCCTTTTGCACTCCATCAGACACAAAGGGCAGATGCAGCTAGACTACAATTATTCCATTGTGATTGGGTTCATAGTCATACCCCCATGGTTGGTAAATCCACCATTGCAGTATATCCCCAGTATATTCCCATTGATGTCATGGGCGAAATCGAACGCGAAAACGAGGTACGATTGGGATGCAACCACATCTTTGTGCGATGGGAGTCCCATGGCCGTGCCTTGGATGTCTCTGCAGCCGTATGTATGTGTTGTTAAATAAACTTATTGTTATATAAATAATTGGAACACATTGTTTGAAAAATTGTATAATTTTACATCACCCGAAAAAAAACCGTGGTATTTTGCTTTATTCTCCACCGTCACTGTTCTCAACTGATCCAAGCTCAAAAAACGGATGCCGGCTGGACGCACAGCTGGACGGCTGGACACCGGCGACGCTCTCAGGACCTTCAAAGCAGCCTATCTTCGTGTGAGTCTCCCGAAACCCTGACCTTGAGCTCCGTAAGGACGTGGAGCTGGTCGAGTCATCAGAATCATCCCAAATTTTCAGGGAGTTGATATTTCACCAGAAGCCAGCAAATCAGAGTGTCACGATGTGTTCTATGAATATGATATATATATGATATATGTGTATATAATGGTATATATATATGTATATATATATAATATATATATATATATTATATGTCATATACATATAATATTAATATATACATGTCAATGTATATGTATCACACACATATGTAATATAATATAATATGATAAAATATACTATAACATATAATATCATATAATCTATAATTTATAATCTTGATAACAAGTTGATGAATAAAGTCCGATTCCGAAACTTCTCCGGATTGCGCAACTAGGATTGCGAAAAACTCTGTGGTCGGATTGCGCAACTTGGATTGCGCAACTCCCAGGATTGCGCAACTCTGCTTGCGCAACTCCTAGGATTGCGCAACTCTGCTTGCGCAACTACTTTCGACAGATTCCGCAACTCCGAGGATTGCGCAACTCTTTGGTCGGATTGCGCAACTACTGTCGACAGATTGCGCAACTCCCAGGATTGCGCAACTCTTGGGTCGGATGGCGCAACTACCTTCGACAGATTGCGCAACTCCCAGGATTGCGCAACTCTTTGGTCGGATTGCGCAACTACTTTCGACAGATTGCGCAACTCCCAGGATTGCGCAACTCTTTGGTCGGATTGCGCAACTAGTTTCGACAGATTGCGCAACTCCCAGGATTGCGCAACTCTTCGGTCAAATTGCGTAACTACTGACTTGGAGTCTCCACAAGGTTAGGATGATATCAAAATTCCCACCCCCATGGAACTTCAAACTGACTTGGAGTCTCCACAAGGTTAAGATGATACCAAAATTCCCACCCCCATGGAACTTCAAACTGACTTGGAGTCTCCACAAAGTTAAGATGATATGAAAATGCCCACCCCCATGGAACTTCAAACTGACTTGGAGTCTCCACTAGGTAGAGATGATATGAAAAAATCCCACCCCCATGGAACTTCAAACTGCCTTGGCGTGTCCACAAGTTAAAGACGATATCAAAATGCCCACCCCCATGGAACTTCAAACAGACTTGCAGTCTCCACAAGGTTAAGATGATATGAACATTCCCACCCCCATGGAACTTCAAACTGACTGAGAGTCTCCACAAGGTTAAGATGATATGAACATTCCCACCCCCATGGAACTTCAAACTGACTTGGAGTGTCCACAAGTTGAAGATGATATCAAAATTCCCACCCCCATGGAACTTCAAACTGACTTGGAGTGTCCACAAGTTAAAGATTCACCATCTCTTTGCAGACTTTCACAGCACCAGTTTCACAATCGCCCCCCAGCTTTTCAGAATTTGTCTTCAGAGTTTCTCACTCCGCCTTCAAAGTTGCACAATCCTAGTTTCACAATCCGTGCGCAGAGTTTCACAATCCGCCTTAAGAGTTGCACAATCCTAGTTTCACAATCAGTATCTAGAGTTTCACAATCCGCCTTCAGAGTTGCACAATCCTAGTTGCACAATCCGTCCCCAGAGTTTCACAATCCGCCTGCAGAGTTGCACAATCTCAGTTTCTCAATCCGCCCCCAGAGTTTCACAATCCGTCTACATAGTTTCACAATCCGCCTTTAGAGTTGCACAATCCTAGTTTCACAATCCGTCTCCAGAGTTTCACAATCCAATTTTAGAGTTTCACAATCTGATTTTCAAGTTTCACAATCCGACTTTCCAGTTTCAAAATACTAGTTTCACAATCCGTCCGGGAAGTTTCACAATCCAAGTTTCACAATCCGACCGGGAAGTTTCACGATCCGACCGGGAAGTTTCACAATCCAACCGGAAAGTTTCACAATCCAACGTTGACCAACATTGATGATATTGATAATGTTCATAATATTGATAATAGCTGCAAAATTTGCAAAATTTATTTTCAATATTTACAATAGTTATAATAACATTTATAATATCTATAATATTTATAATATTCATAACATATACTATATAATGTAGAACATTTAGCATATAATATGTAAGATATAAATGTGTATATATACACACTATAGATTTGTGATGCACCTATATGAATGTGTATGACCCACCATTGGAAACCAATAGTTTGGACACCAACTGATTTTTGGGCATCCCCCATTTTAAGATACCTCTAGGGATGGAACCAGGGTACCAGGGTACCATATTGATGGAATTGGGAAGAAGGGATGGGACTTTGCAGCCGGATTTCGTTTCTTCCAACCCCAAATCCACCAAACCATGGAGTGAATGTCGAAGATAGGTTTCTCTACATATCCAACTTTACTATGGGCATTTTTAGTAAATCCCTCTAACAGATCGAAACTCGCAGTCAAGTACCGTTTTCCCTGTGGATCTCCCCATTTTTCTGGCTCGGACATCTCCCTTGCTGCGACTCCGCCAGGATGCGGAACGCGTCCTCGGAGAGCGAGACGCTGCAGGAAGGTCTGTCTGAGGCCACGGTGATTCTGGGGGAAAAGCCTGCCGCATTTGGGAAGCATTGGGAAGTGGTGATTATGTTCGATTATCCAATGAAAACTTCCCCGGTTCCCTTATGGAGTAAGACAGCCACTCTACTTACTCCTTACTCATATATATATATAATTATATATAATTATATATATACACATAGATATGTATACAATGACTTTAAGCAACTAATCTTTGGAGAAAGCGGCACCCTAAAACACTTGGTACTTTAGTACTTGAACGAATCTTTTTGCAGTAAGCAGGGATATATGTATATTATACTAACTGCCCACATATTTTGTTTCCGGGCATCTGAGATTGGTCGCTGGAATTGAATCTAAGTCTTTGCGTATCTATTCTTATTTAAATTCACTCAAATCTCAATCTAAATCTTAGTCCAATCTAAATCCAATCTAAGCCTATAAAATCTAAATCCAACCTAAATCCAACCTAAATAGAGCCTAAACTACCTACCTTTCCACCTTTCCACCTTTCCACCTTTCCACCTTTCCACCTTTCCACCTTTCCACCTTTCCACCTTTCCACCTTTCCACCTTTCCACCTTTTCCACCTTTCCACCTACCTACCTACCTACCTATCTTAGAATCTACTTATCTACCTATCTACCTATCTACCTCCCTACTGTACCTCTCTACATCTCTGTATACCTATTTGATCCTATTTGTCTGTCTGTATCTCTGTCTATCTATCTACCTATCTACCTATCTACGTATTTGTCTATCTGTCTATCTGTCTATATTTTTTGTCTCTCTCTCTCTCTCTCTCTCTGCCTCTGTTTTGCTATGTTTGACCATGTGAAGGCCCTAGCACCCAAGTATGGGTCAAGATTAAATACCATTTTTTTATCATTTCGTTTGGGCAATTTTGACCAAGAGCTTTGTAAATGCCCTGGTGTTTCACAGACTTTGTCACCTGCGGAAGGATGTTGGAGATTGTGCACATCCCCACATGGCTATGGCTCAAAATGATTGGGCCCCAAAATGGACGGTACCTGAACATGCTTATCCTTTTGTGGGTCCATTGGTATCCCATGTTTGAGCAATTTCCAAATCACCAGGGTCACACTGCCCTGGCCCCTCAGATGGAGCTTCGCAAAACTGTGGAAGAGCAAAGTGAAACGTCGCTGGGCAGAGGGCTGGACCTCAGCTTTGTCCCAAATGGGGCCCCAAAATTTCTATCAGCCGAAATGGGGAAAGTGGTCTTCTAAACCATGGGATGGACCTGGGGTTCCAAGTTTTGAGACAAAACTATACTTTTGGGCCACACTTTTTTTTTTTAAAATCTTTTTTCCGAGGATAGGTAGGACTTGTCAGCTGGCATAAAAAGGAATTGCAATGCCCAAGGGCCCAAGGAATCCAACTACTCAAAACCTTGTTCATCGGTTGGTACATATTTTCATACGAATCAATATCATCAGTGGGTCGGGGGATGGGATTCGATGGAAATAGATATATAGAATTATTCAAACAGTAAACATCACATCATTGACGAATTCAAAATTGAATCATTTTGGATTAGATATTCCTGGGCAGACCATTCTCAATTTGGTTTGCAAAGCGCTGAAGATTTTATCATTTTTGACCGCCTAGTGATGAGCGCGTCTCCCAGGTCACTACCATCTAAGGTGTAATTGCATAGGACTTCAAACTGGCAACAGAACATGTTCTCCGTATTTAATCTGCCTATTAAACACGGGTGTTTCCTGGCTTTCATCCTGGCTAAGGTTGGATCAGCCACAGTCCAGGTGGAAATGGGATGAGCCACGAGTTGATGAGTGTGTCCTTTTGCTCCAATGCTCCAGCAATTCCTCATAGTTGGTCAAAGTTTGAGGTCAGCTACCCGAAACCGAGCAATGCAAGCAGTTTTCAACTGTTTTTAAGACTTTGGAGGCACCAAACTCTTCCAGTTTTAGGTATTTTTAGGTGCACATTCGCTAACCAAATTCACTTCTGCAAGGTAGTTTGATGTAGGTATGGGATGGTATAGGTGCAAAATGGTGCAAAACACGGCTGCACAAGACATATATATATATCATATATCTATCTATGTAACGTACAGCCACATGTAGAAGTGGGTAGATAGGGCCACCAGTTACGCCAGGGACCAGGCAACCTCCACGGATGACGCTGATGAGGCCGGGTTCGCTTCAATATTTGTTCGGCTGGTTGACCCAAAGATTGTCCCATTTCGAGACGGAAAGGACAGTTTTTTTGACAACCAAAGTGTGGATTCTACACTGAAGTCATGTCTTTCTTCTTTTGTTCACTCAATTAAAAATTAAATTGACCAACCTAAAATTTACCAAAAACAATGGGAATCGAGCCCAGTTTTTAGTATGGACGGCTATTTATTTAGGTTCTTGGTCTGTTTTTTTAATTTCTGGCTCCTAGCTTCTCTGCTTTACCCTGCCTCTTTACTTTTCTGCTTTTCCCTGCCTCTTTGCTTCTCCATTTTTCTGATTTTCCCTGCTTCTCTGCTTTTCTGCTTCTTTGCTTCTCTTCTTTTCTGCTTCTTTGCTTTTTGCTTCTTTGCCTCTCTGCTTCTCCACTTTTCGCTGTTTTTCTGCTTATTTGCTTTTCTGCTTTTCCCTGTTTTTTTTTGGTTTATCATAAACAAACCCTAAGAAACATCATTTAAATTAAGCCCTGAATAAACCCCAAGCCACCCGAAAAAAACAAACGCAACTCTAAGTAAACCCTCAACACACCCTAAATAAATCTGAAACTAATTCCAAATAAATCCTATAAACCAACCCTAGATTGTTTTTCAAACCATACCAAATAAATGTTAAACCAAGCCTAAATAAACCTTATGTAAACCAACCCTAAATAGATTCTGAAACCAAGCCTAAATAGATCCTAAACCAACCTAAACAAATCTTAAAACAACCCTAAATAGGTCCTAAACCAACCCTAAATAGATCTTGAACCAAGCCTAAATAAACCCTAAAACCAACCCTAGATAGATTTTAAACCACGCCTGAATGGATCCGAAACCAAACCTGAATAAACCCTAAAGCAAACCCTAAATAGATCCTAAACTAAGCCAAAATAGATCCCAAACCAACCCCTAAATAGATGCTAGACCAAGCCTAAATAAACCTTATATAAGCCAACCCTGATAGATTTTTAAAGCAAGCCTACATAGATCCTAAACCAACCTGAACAAACTTTACACCAACCCTAAATAGATCTTAAATCAAGCCTAAATAAACCCTCAAACCAACCCTACATGAACCTAACCCCAAACAGATCTTAAACCAAGCTTGAATAAACCCTACAAGCAACTCTAAATAGAGTCCTAACCAATAAAAAACACTATATCATCAACTAACTCTAAAACTAACCCTAAAAAAGCTTAAAACCAACCCAAGAAAAACCCTAAACTAACCTAAAACCAACCCTAAATCAACCTTATTTGCAAGCTACCATGTACATGAACAGTTCGAGCACCAACATGCTGCAAATAATTGCAAATACCATGGAAAATGAGAGGTTTAAACTCAAAAATGCCGCAAATACTGTTGAAATGGCAGCTTCCAGCAGCCAAAATGCCGCAAATAGCAAGGAAAATGGACAGAGGAGGAAATCCAAAAAAAACAAAACGGGAGAAAAAAAGGTTCCCCAAACAATTCCGGACCCTTTACCATACGTTTGGTAATAATAATATAGGTCATTACGCCAGGCCATAGCAATGGCATTCGGTTGAAAATTTCAGCATTGCTGTTAAAGGTGACACTTGGCATAATCACAAACAAAAGATGATTTGAAAACGCGGAAAAAAACAAGCCGAAAACAACATAATGTTTGAACGACGGACATCATAAATCAATGGATTTAGTTGAATGTCAGGTCATTTTGACTGGCCGTGCTGACACAAAATAGACATTCGGTTGGATAATCCCCCAGATGGATATGTTTGGGCAATTGAAGATATCTTTTTTCATTATTTTTCAATGTTTGATTTATATTCTATCTTCAATGTTGCTAACAAACGATTGATTTATGATGATTTATGATCTCAATATTATTGAGATTTGTGGTTTATGATTTTGATTCTAGATTCTTTCAATCTCTATGATTTGTGTGTTTTGTGATCAGATACAATTGCCACCCAGTAAACTAACATATGGACCATAGCCTAATGTATAGATGATTCACCTGTTGAACATTGTAATTTCCATAGCTCGGCCGCGCTGCCAGGAGGCTTCTGCCCCGCCCACGCCCCGCGCGGCGCGGCCGAACCGAAGGAGTTCCATGATGCAGACGCTGCAGAGCTGAAGTCCGTCGGTTGGTGGATGATTTCCCCCAAAAAAATCTGGTACTCGTATTTAGCCAATGTATATAACATAATATATATATATTATATAGTTATTATAAATATATATATATAATATCTATATATGTTATAATTATATATATATATATAGTTATATATATATAGTATATATATAATATAATATATATATAATATAACTGATTTGTCCCAACAAAAATGGGGAAAAGCCTGTATTTGACTAATGTCAACCCCGGAGGAAGTGGGATGTCACGGGATTTCACCAGATTTGAAAACCACTGGGTGTTTCTAGGGTATGGTTTATTTTTTCAGGGTTTGCTACATCAGAAAAAGCAGCACATGCCCAGCACAAGTCGAAGCCACCAAGCGGCGCCACCGTGCCTTGCCTCGAGGCAAGACTGTTGGCCCGAGTACCAGCAAGTGCCAACCAGGCACTGGGAGATGGTCAAATGGAAAGTCAAATAGAAATCCCAAATGTATTGTGGTGGTATTATGATATCTCAATCTCATTATCATGATATCTTATGGTGAATAGGAGGTCCCAATGTTTTCCCATAGATTATGATCATCATCCCAGCGGGGCAACGACAGTCGACCAAATGTGCTGATCCTGGTCGTGAAAAAGTAGCCACTTCTGGTCATTTTACATCCCAAATAGGTGTATATCCCAAATCTGAATTGGGGATGGTTCTTACTGGGTTTACCATATGACACATCCCTGTGTTTGCTACAAACTAAGTTGTATACAATGTATACAGTATACATATGACATAGCTGAATATATCTCCCTACTTCTATATGTATATATACACATATAATCAATATACATACATACATACATACGTACGTACGTACGTACGTACATACATACAAACACAGACATACATAAACACATACACACACATACATACATACATTACATTACATTACATTACATTTACATTTACATTTACATTACATTACATGACATGACATGACTGACATACATACATACATACATACATACATACACACACATATATACATACACACATACAGACATACAGACATACAGACATACAGACATACAGACATACAGACATACAGACATACAGACATACAGACATACAGACACACACACAGACACACAAACATACATACATACATCCATACATCCATACATCCATCCATCCATACATGACATTCAGTTTCATTACATTACATGACATACATTACATACATTACATACATTACATACATTACATACATTACATACATTACATACATTACATACATTGCATACATTACATACATTACGTACACTACCTACATTACATACATTACATACATTACATACATTACATACATTACGTACATTACATACATTACATACATTACATACATTACATACATTACATACATTACGTACATTACGTACATTACGTACATTACGTACATTACATACATTACATACATTACATACATTACGTACGTACGTACGTACATACATTCATACATTCATACATTCATACATTCATACATTCATACATTCATACATTCATACATTCATACATTCATACATTCATACATTCATACATTCATACATTCATACATTCATACATACATACATACACACACACATATATATATACACATACAGACATACAGACATACAGACATACAGACATACCATTGCATTGCATTGCATTACATTACATTACATTACATAGACAATTATGGATTACATATAAAATATATTATATATCACATAGACTAAAAAAATCACTGTATATATATAAATAAATAAATGCACATGTTGCTTTGCCATTATATCTCTAAATCGTGGACTCCCATCGGCACTGGATACCAGGCCGAAAGCGAACGCCGTTCCCACTGCGCCAGCTGCGCCAGCTGCGCCAGCTGCGCCAACGCCGCCTGCCGTTCCGGTGGCCCCTGCGGTGGCGCCGCCGTTGAACCTGTGTCAGGCGAACGGGGCACATCTCAACCCATTAGATGAAGGGAACTTGGAAAACCCATGAAAAGATGACTGTGGAACTTCTCTAAAGCGCATCATCTCAAACCAAAATCATCAGTCAGATGCGGATATCTCCCACCAAGTTTCTATCAAAACAGAAATCCACCCCAGATGCCATGGGTTTTTTCCCGTTTGACAATCCAGGCGATCGCTAATCCACCACTAGTCTATCCGGCCATCTCTTCGGCAACTTGGCTGTGAGAGCCGTGGGTTGGCCCGTACCTCAAAAATCCCAGGGGTTTACCATCGTTTTCCGACTAAAGTGGCTGGTTTGGGGATATACCGTGATACTCGTATACGCTAGTTTCAGACTCAGACACAGAAATTTGTCACCTAAAAACCACCTGGTGACGGCTGGGATTCTGAACATCCTGTGCAATTGCCACCGTCAGAGATCCAAGACTGGTGTCCCCAGAATCCCCGAAGGTTCCCGGCATCTACGACATGTATGGTTGTGGTGGCTGCCACTACTACACGCCCATGGCAGGCGGCGACTCGGTGGAATCCGGTGAATGAACCTTCGGACCTTCATCCTCCCTAATGTGGGTAAAACATGGTAAAACTGTAAAACAATAATACACCACCCATTTGGGAATGGTTTATACCACCTATAAAGATGGTGATTTCGGGGATGGTTTATGGCATTGTCTTACCCACATTAGTTCCTTCAGAAAATCCCGATGAAACGTCACTGTGCAGGCCTCGCACCCATCACGGCTTCGCCATGGCCCTTGTATCAGCCCCAGCTCACCCACGCGGCGCTCTTGCTGCAGCAGTGGCAGCTGCAGCAACAGGCGGCGGCGCAACAGGTGCGCGATCGTGTTAATCCTCAAGTAGATAGAAGATGGGATTTCAAACATATTCCCATTTTAGTGTGTTCTTGATTTTTATATATTCTAATCCAAGATGACCACATCTTTAAATATATGGTATCATATGTGAGAGTACAGAATCGATATGTATCTAATTTATTCAATTTTCAAAAAGGATTCTTGGATCCCTAAGTTAGGGATGCCAGTAATTCACCTGCCATTTGTTTTCTCTTCAATTTCCATTTGGCTGACCGCACGCCGAGAGGCAGTCTTGAACACCATGGCACCGCCGGCGCGCGTTTGGGACGTGCGGCTCGGTCGATGGATTGCCCATATCGAAAAAATGGCAGCAAAAAAAATGGTGGCAACTGGAAAATCGGTGAAAATCGTTGAAATCAAAAGGTCAAGACATGTCAAGACCATATTTGACATGACAAAAACAACTTTTTATCCACCTTGGGACCAAATTTGTTAAGGGCAACAGTCCGGTTGTCTAATCAGGCGATCCGAGTCTCTACTTGTACCAAGGTTTGCGAGGTTCCAGCTTTTGGTTGTTAAAAACCATTAAATACGATAAAAAAACAATGTTTTTCCAAAGATGTTCCCTCAGGTCAACTTAACCCCCAAGCATCACTTGCAGATAGCAGGCATCACTTGTCAAACCCCTCGCAGACTGCTGCACATTCAACATCGCCCAGGCGTTCATTGGAAACACCAAACCCAATGACTGCTCCTGTGTCCTGGCTGAGTTTCTGCCTTTTGACCTATCTGAAAATTAATACGTAAGAGCTGACCATGCAAGAGCCCCAAAAAATTGGAGACTTGAAGAGCAAATGACCCATGGCCATGCCATGGCCCATTATTTGATTGGTGCCTCCGGAGCTGTCTTGTTTTTATAGTCCAGGCACTAGTCGATCCAACCATTAGGTGACGAGCTGTAGGCCCTCCATCTGGTGAACGAACCTCGAACCGAAGTCTGATGAATCCCCAAGCCTTGGACAAATCCGTCATCATCAGGTTTTGTTGCTTTAAATATCGTTAAATCCTATTTTGGCCAGCTCGAATCCCATTTTTGCTGGTAAAATCAACATTCTGGAACACATCCATTTGGTTACTGGTGAAAACCATGGTGATTTCTCAAAATTCTTCATGGTGAAATCGACGGTTCATATCCATGTGTGCCATCCCACTGAGGTGATCGAGATGGAGCCCAAGCAGGCAAAAAGATGGGATGATATGGGTAGTTGTATATTTATACTATATATAGGGGGGTTTCCTAAAGTAGGGGTACCCCATAACCATGGGCTGAAACGTACTAAAAGGGTCTAATGACTTGGATGATTTCGGGGTACCCCTATTCTAGGAAACCACCATGTATGTAGAAGTGTACATTTCTAGATGATTTTTAGAGCTTTTATATTGATTATAACTACATTTACATATATGTATTTAATAAACATATGTATATACATGATGAATTTACATAGATGTGAGTATCTTGTCAGACAGAGAGATGAATATACGATCCTTCAGATCATGCAAACTGAGGTTTTCCATTTTTGTTATTAAAGGTTTGTAGAATCCTCCCAAATGGTGATTACGTAACACAACATGACATTAATGTGGGTATAACAATAATAAAACATCCCCCGAATCACCATAAATAGGTGGTGTAAACCATTCCCAAACGGGTGGTTTATTGTTGTTCTTTTTTTTTTACCACATTACTTTACATTGTACTGATATCATACTGCACTACATCAATCACCAGACATCCCAAGATTTTTCAAGGCTCACTATTTTCTCAAGCCACGGGAGGACATTGGAGCCATTTTAGCGCAAGCTGAAAAGTGGGAACCTGAACGGCACGATGTACATCGCAAGAGGAACGGCACGCGGCGACAGCGCTTGTGGGTCACTTGGGCCATGATTGTGATGTCGCTGCCATGATTGTCTGGTGATGTGTCACATTCTGAAGATTGGGATGTCTGCTGAACTTTTTTTTGTTGCTTGGAAGAGCCATGATATTGTTCACCAGAAATTGAGACGGGGATTGCAGGTTGAGCAATCATGGTAAAATCACCAGTGATCTTGGTAGTCTCTAGGCTACCCATTTGGTGGTCCGAATTTGGCACCTCCAATTTGTTGGATCCATACCCATCAACTAGAGCGGATGGTGAGCCAAAATCACCGATTGGGGAGTGATGGCTTCAGAACTTATCCATGTAGGACGTGACTTTCCCCATCATCAGGCTGAGGTTTGCAGTAAGGACACCAGTTGATACTGACAAACAGAGGTTGTACAGTTTCAGACTTCCGCATGGTCTAGATTGTGTTCACCCACAGAATTTCGCATAGGATCTGCACTTCCGAATCCAGTTTTTGAGGTTCTCTCTGAGCTAATAATATTATGAACCCTGAGCTGAGGATTTCCGAGTTTCGGAATGTTTTGGAGTATTCCATGTTTGTTTCAGATGGATCTGAGCTTGCCCAGATCATCCCGGATCACTCCTTCAGAGGTTCATATCTACCTGCACATGCGGATTCAGGGCAAAAGCCTTGACAAATATGGCTTGCCCAGATTCTTCGACCTGGTCCCAGCTTTGATTGGAAGATTGGGTCAGGGACCCCAGCGATGAAACCCAGGATGGTGAAACCCAGGACCCCCAAATCATAGTATATCAATGTATATCATAGCGTATCATAGTATATCATAGTATATCATAGTACATCATAGTATTTCATAGTATATCATAGTGTATCATAGTGTATCATAGTGTATCATAGTGTATCATAGTATATCATAGTATATCATAGTATATCACAGTATATCACAGTGTATCAGAGTGTATCATAGCGTATCATAGTGTATCATAGTTTATTCGTGTACAATAGTATATCATAGTATATCATAGTATATCATAATATGTCATAGTATATCATAGTATACCATGTATATCATAGTATATCATAGTATATCATAGTATAGTATAACATAGCATAGTACAGTATAGTATAGGTATAGTATAGGTATAGTATAGGTATAGTATAGGTATAGTATAGGTATAGTATAGGTATAGTATAGGTATAGTATAGGTATAGTATAGTATAGTATAGTAGAGTAGAGTAGAGTAGAGTATAGTAGAGTGTAGTAGAGTATAGTATAGTTATAGTATCATAATATATCATATGTAAACATCTAAAAGTGCTCGTACAGTTCCAAGCAACGTCACGAAACATGACTGGCATTGCCCGGGTGCACCAGGGGGGCAAAGCCAGTGGATGGTAATCAGATGGGGTTCTAAAATGGGCATCCCCAATAGCTGGATGGTTTATCATGGAAAATCCGAAAATCAAATGGATGATATCTGGGGGTACCCCAACTTTTGAAACCTCCATATAGTCCATATATATATATACAATCCAGCTGGAAGTTCATGGTCATCACGGGACTTTTTCCCTTCCAACACCACGATGGTCCACGCGCAGCCCCAAATCATAACCCCCGCTACCCCTCCAACCCTGGAACTGAGATAAAAGCGGTTCATTTGGTGTACACGTGCATGTCTAGATTCACACCAATTGATGCGACATGGCATGAGCTTGTCTCACAGAACGATATGACCCAAGAGCATTCACTGCAAGTCACTGCTGCTCCTCGCGGGTCATCAGGTTGCCACACAAACAAAATTCACGAAGAGACCGGTGCCAAAATCAGGATCCGAGGACAAGGAAGCAGCTTGGCAGGGCTCAAAACCTCATGATGGGTCTCCAAAAATAAAGTAAAGCACAACTCTCAGCGTTGAAAATTCTCAGTGGATGATGTGCATGGCTCGAAGAACGGAGTCGCATCGGCGGCTGCAAGGGTCGAATGTTGCTTTTGTATTATATGATTTTGTTGGAAGAAATCCAAGATGATCCAAGAGTCGCCATGTTTTTTTTGTACCCCTGACATTTGGAGATCATCTCAGGTGGTCATAAGGAAATCGAAGGTGAATACGAGGCCCCAGTACCTTTGATGGTCGCTGGGCAGATACAAAGGGCCACAATAGGCCACATTGGGGGGGCGAGAGAATCTGCTGGAAATCATGACTTGATGTGGTTGGCATGTTCAATTCAGAAAGGCGCACTTCCAAAATTTGACACTTGAATCTGAAAATAGGCATTTCATGGCATTTCCAAGCAGTGTTTTTTGTCCAAATCCACTTTTGGGGGAGGTCAGTGCAATAGCTTTCAGTGTTTTCGGGGAGATATGAGCCATCGCAAGGGCTAGGAAACATGTACGGGGCGGACATCAATTTTCAGAAATTATACATTACAACTATGGGATAGTTAAGCGATGAGACCTTCCCATATAGCGATAAGCCCCTTTGAAGGTTATGTCATACCTTTGCACATACATCGTTTTCCTTTAAGCAACACCACCAAAATTTGCCATACATCATTTTGTGAAAACCTGTGATAAGCGATGGGACCTTCCCAAATTTGGTTGATGTCCTTCCTTTTGGTGAACCTTGAGTTTTCGAGGTTTTGAACTGCGATAAAACGATCCATGTGGGGAGGGGGGAATGTGCCTGAAACGATCAGTATATTTGCGCATTCCCATTATTTTTTGTAAATGTGTGCCATTTTTGATCCGTTTCTTTCTTATGCCTGGAACAGTCCCACTTTTCGGACTAGTTCCTCACGCTGAACGCTTGATGTTCTCCAGCGCAGCTACAGGTGGCTATCAGCACCGACCATGAAGATCCAATCTGGTTTCTTGGCTCTGCTTACTAGCAACTTGTATCACTCTTTACGGGAAGCCCCGTTCCTTGATCAACCAGAGTACATTAATCCTAGGTTGACATGAACGTGATATACTCACTAATAAAACCATTTTGTTGCAATCTTTAATCCAACCACTAGTAAAACCTATACGTAGTATATAGGTATGGTTTATGATTATTGGGGTTAGGCTTAACACATGGTTTGGGAAGCCTGCATCGACGGAAGATCCATGCAAAGATTGAAAGTTCAGCAGATGAGATGGATATATAGCTGGGTATGGGTCAAAATAATTCCAGATCAACCATAACTACTATCATTATACAGACTCTATCATTATTCATATAAATTCATATTAATTGATGAATAATAATGATGATATAATTAAAATATATCTATGTTACAATACTGTATATATATAACATAATAACAATGATAATAATTTTACTAACAACGAGCATTATAATGATAATGATAGTACATAAAACAATAATAATGATGATAATAACAATAATTGATAATATATATATAACAATAATAACAATAATATATATTTATATATAAGTAGAATAACAATAACAATAACAACAATAATATTATATGAATAATATTATAAGAACAATAAGTTATATATATAATTATTCTAATACAACTAATAAGAATAGTAATAATACTGTAGTAATAATAATGATGATATATAAGTAACAATAATAATAACAATAACAACAGCAATAAGAATATTGTATACATTTGTATCTTTGGGACGTTCAGCTCGAAACCATCAGCTCCGCGGGAGGTTTCGAAAGGCCGTGGAAAAGATGTTGAAAAAAGGTGCTCCAACATTTATCACATATGCTCCAACATCACGTTTATATATAGAATAAGTGATATATATATATTATATGTGATAAATATAATATGTGATGTATATAATTATATATATGTATATATATATACATATGAATGCTATGATCCCTCCCCAAGGCCCACCTTTTCAGATGGTCAGCCTTCCCTCTTTTGGGAATTGGCAGTTTCTTGAATCAAGGGAAATACCTCCTCTCTTAAAAGGACTATTGTACTCTTTTCATCTCTTTTCTTCACTTTTCAATCCAATGTTTTCGTCATGCTATATAAAGGGAATAGTCCATGAGGTATATCGCACATTCTTAAAGGAATAGCATACCCTTTCAAAAGGATTACTGCATACATAGTAGGATCCTGCTTTGAATCTATGCAATGTGCCGTTGCCCTGAAAGGATGCGTGAACTTTTTCCAAACAAAATGTGTATCCTTTTAAAGTATGTATATGTTGCAGACACTTGAACCACATGCTGTCACATGCTCTTCAAGGAAGACAAATTTATTTTCAAAAAAGGTACTGCATAGGCAAAAGATTCTGTCTGGATATTCTTGCAATAGGTCTGCCCTTCTTTGAAAGTGATACTGCACTCTGTTGAAATATAAGCTGCACGCTGTGAAAGTTGGAATATTGTTGCAATGGAATGGTCTACCTCTGGCCAAAATAATGTTTGCGCCTGTTGACAATTTGTTCAAAAACAATCGTGCACTCCTTTAAACATATTCTGCACTCTTTGAACATGGTGAAACTGAGCTCTATAGATGACTTTCATTAATTTTCCAATTAACACCTCCATTTATAGGGGATCTCCATGGATCTCCTATTTCCATTCATATATATTCATATGATTATCCAAAGCTATGCCCCTTTTATGCGTTTCCCAGGGATCGTCCCTGTAGACTTTGTGTGCCATCTCACCTGGATCTAGATATGTGGCATCACTTGGGTTGCGTACCACTTCCAAGAGGTTACTTATATATACTTATATATAACATACTCGTATGTATAACATTATCTCTACATATTTATGTATGTAATAAATATACATGTACAGATGTATACATGCATCATATGTATATCACCCACTTCTATTTGGCCTCCCTGTCCTCCCTGTCAGACAAGTTCGAGCCCTTCCTTCGCAGCGAAAACATCGAATTTGATGGGCCGCGCTTTTCGATGGGGCTGGTGGAGAAGCACATTGCAGAGGCGGCGAAGTGGCGAAATTGCCTGTGGGCCATAGTTTTTGCTTTGGCGCAGTGTCCCAAACTTGGACTTTTGTGGATTTTTGTGGTCTTTAGCATTTCGAGACCATTTTATCAGGATTTTACCAGGGATTTATCAGAATTAACCTGCCAGATCAGGCAACAACCCTTCTGAGGGATATGGAGCAGGGTTTTGCAAACAGTGACAGCCTTTAAACTACCCGTCCCAAGACCCAAGGGTTGATTCATCGGATGTTTAAAAATGGTCGATATCACGTATATCACTGATACTGTCCGAGGGTCAGAGGGGAGGTGCAAATAGATCATGAACATTATGTACTTGTGCAATTATACAGTTGTGTATATAATATAAGTAGTAACTAGGTGCAGGCATTTCTTGCGCGCGCCCTTGGATCGGAAGCAGTTGGAAGCAAGCTTTGGAGGGCTCTATGTTGTTGATCTAAAATGCTTTTTGAACGTTTGTGAAAGCTGAAAGGTTCTGCTGTAAAATCGGACTAAGCAACATCGGCCACATTGCCTCAACCTGGGCCTGACGTTGGCCCAACATAGGAGAAGCATATGATCCAATTCGACTAGCACTGGCTGAACATAGCCCAACAATCCAACAAGGGCTCAACTTAGGCTTGACCTTTCTTTTCGCACGTTTCTTTTGGGTGGGTTGATACAGTATTGCATGGAACGCTTTAGTGGCCATATTGCAAGCAAAAGGGCTGTGTTGAAAACTAGAAACATACCCGATTTTGGTCATAGTCACGCATGAGATGCCCTGCCCAATTTTTGAGGCTTTTATGTCGATTCTTTTAAGCTTCCCATCAAACATACAGCCAAATGGGGGGTGTTCCTATTCTGCAAGGTCCTCAAGGTCCAAAACTATGCTTGTATTTGGGTCTTTGGAGAGCCTAAGCATGTCCAAACCAAGCTGCCAGGTAAGGCCCAACATGGCCCAACATAGCCCCAACCTGTGCCCAACATTGCCCAACATTGCCACAAGATCGGCCACGTCGCCTCAACGCGAACCTCACCTGGTCCCAACACAGAAGCGCGAATCCCACAAGCCAGAGCAAACAAAACACATCCAGTGGGGGCGGTTCGCTGCAAAGCGACCAGAATATGTAATTAGATATATATTATAATATATTATATTATATATATACATATATATATATACAAAGGTTTTGGCTGGACAGCAAGGGCGCCCACACGCTTCTCGCGTTCCACCCTCAATCTTAGGGGGCTCCGTTCCCATTTGCCCCCGGGCCATAGTGTTTGGCCTTGCGGCACGGCTTTTTACCTGAACTGGCACTGCCCTGGGTATTCAGCTGTTGCGCTTTCTGTGCTCTGCTTGAGCTTAGGCCACTCAAGCACCACCATCTTCACTGCCGTGGTCCCAGCCACGTTAAACCGCCTGGGGGCCTTGCGATTACATCATCTCACGAGGTGAACTTTGTCTACTTGAACGGCCACAAGGGGGTTCTGGCTATTTCATGGGCATTGTCTTCATCCACTTTTTCATTTTCTTGGCGTTTGTCTTCCTTGGGAAATTTGTGAACCATTACTCCATCGCAGAGGAGAAGAACAAGGCGGCAAAGGGCTTCAGCCAGGTTCTGGTGGCACTGTCACAGGAAAGGGATCTACAAGCTAAGTCGTCAACGCCTTGCTTCAATTGTCACAATCCTCCAGCACCATCACTCCAAGGACGAGAAGTTCTTGAACTACGTCAAAACCAACATGGCGGAGTACAAGGAACCATGGAGATGTGGCTACTGTATGAGGCTCAACAAGATGAATGCTTTGAGATGTGGAAAATGCGACACCATATGGCATCAATGTTTGGATGCATCCTACGTCCATGGCGCCAAGTCCAAGAAGGAGACGTGGACCTATGCCAGCTGGGATGCAGGAGAACAGACATGGCCATCGGAACGAAAGGCATCCAAATCGCCGCGCAAGACCAGAAGAGGATCTACACCGAGAGCAAGTCGACGCAAAGTCAAAGAAGATCTGGTACCACCCTTGGACCCTCCTTGGAGTACCAAGCAGCAGCCTGTTGCCCCGTCGACGTCATCAGCGACAGGGAATGCAGAGAATGCAGCAGCTGCACAACAGCTGCAGACGCTGGTCAACAAGTTGCAGACCAACGAGCAACCGCTCTCCCCGCAGGAGATTCAGCAGATCATTGCGGAAACAACGAACAAGCCAGTGACATCAAAAAGCATGCATCAGGCAGTTCGGAAAGTGGATCAGGCCAGAGACAAGCTCAAGGCGGCGACTGCGGCTCGAAGAAAGTTGCACACGTCTTGGCTGAACTATGTGGAGGAGAGCATCAAAAGATGGCAGTCATTTGCGGAGGACTTCGCGAAGAAGGATGCAGCCTTGGACAAGGAGGTCAACGCTGCACGAGATTGCCTTCAAGAAGCACGAAGTCATCTCGACGAGGTGAAAGAGATCCACTCCAAGATGGATGCCGATGTTCTGGGTACGGAAGTCATCTCGGATGGCGAAATGGAGGACGACACCATGAAGGAGAACACTGCAGAGGCAATACAGAAAAGTATTCACACTGTGGTGGACAACCTGGAGCAGCTGAACGTCCGTCCAGTAGAAGAAGCATCAGAAGAGATCCCAGCGGCCAAAAAGCCCAGAACAGAAGATGGTGGGCGAGGCTCGCGTGCGCTCTCGCCTTTCCCCGGGCCGGGCAAATAGACTTTGCAGAGGTTTGCCCAAGGCCGTTGAGACCGCTATGTTTCCATGATCAGACACTCATCTGGAACCATAGCTTTGTGGATGACGAAGATTTTGTCACTCCTTGGGAGGCTAGCATCGACGCTGTTGACCTTGCTCACGAAGTTGGGACTGGCGACATGCGTTCGAACTACACCCTTGTTGAGTGCGTGAAGAACCCTTTGAAACACAAGGTGAAGTTTCACTCCAGAGTAGACCTCTATGTGGGTGCAGAGGAAGACTCTGACATGGTACATTGGACGCACAGTGTTGGAGTTCCGCACCAACAAGCTTATGTCCTATGTCCTCAACCTCATTTTTCAGCTCACTTCATTTCACCAGGTCCTGCATTGGATCGCATGGATGAGACGGATGCATTTTCACTCCTTGCTGCTCAAGCTGCAACAGGAGGAATGAACATTGAATTGCCCTGTGAAGGGCCAACTGATGCCGTCATCAACAACCGAGATGCTGCGAGAGATCTTGATGACATTTCCCCAATATCTTCAGTTTCGTCGCCGGCACAGTCTACAAGCTCTGAACCTGAACTAGTTGGTCCTGATGACTGGTACGCTACGTTGGTTTTCACCATTGAAGGTGGACCTGGCACTTTGTGGCTCAACTGGAATGACTATATGGACATGCACCAGAAAGTAGCCAGAGCGCTTCGTGTTGGACCTGAGGATCTTTTCAACTTGCACATTGTGGAGACACCACCACAAGATGTTGACAGAGCCCACACAGGGGTTGTCATTGCGAATCGAAGAGGTGACCTCCAGACAGGATCCACAGAGTGCTTTGTCCTCCTGGATGTGGAGTTTCATTCAGCAGTTCTGCTTGCCATGCCAGAAGTTGTACGTCGTGCACAGTTGATTCCTGATGTCATCAGTAGAGAGCAACTCCTTCGTGGTCTGGGGCTCCATCCTTTCTGTAGGAAAGCAGAGAATAGGTGCTTGATTTGGGTCAATGATGAATTGATCTCATTTGGAACCCTACGTGTACACCTTCGTGATGGTGATTACGTGAGGATCGCAATTCCTCCTGGTGGACCAAGCATAGACCACATAGACACAAGGTGCCTGGCAACGGCTTTTCACCAGGGAATGAGCACTGAAGATATCTCTATGAGGCACACACTGTATCGACTTGGATGGCACGACGACCTCATTGGACCGCCACATGTGCCTCGCAATAGAGGTTTTCATGGCCAACATGATGATGATGGCGTCCTTTTTCTTCAAATACACAAAATTCAAGTACCAGCTTTGGAAGCACCAGCATTTCTCTATGCAGAAGAACCCAAAGAACGCTTGCCTGAAGAACCGCCGTATCGATGTGGAAGCCCTGATCCCATTCAAACAGCGGCACAAGGCACTTTCCAAGGCATTGAAGCAGAACCAGCGGTTATCCAAGAGCTCTACATGCATTGGTTAGCGCATCTTGCTGGACAAGAGGCAGTACAAGGTGGCGATGACCCAATTTTGCATGTGGATTCATGGTATTTAGACATGCCACGTTTTCTTCATTGTGATCAGCATCGACCAGTTGCTCTACAGCAAAACTTTGCCGTGTGGTTTCAAGCTTTTGCTGATGCATGGATCGATGTTCTTGATCCAATGTGGCCCATTGACTTGCACGTTGTGAGACCTACGCCCCCTGCCACGGCCACACAACGAACCCGTAGGTTGCAGGTCATTGTTGTGCAAAGGCTTCCACATGATGGCGTGGCGAACCTGTTCACCATTATCCGGACAGGTCCGAATGAACAACCTGTTCGACATACAGCTAGATTTGCGCCCAGGCAAGTCACGAAACCGCAAGTCATTGGTTTTGCTGGTGTTGCGAACGATTGCTACCCTGAGCTCTCATCTCTGCAGTGCATGGTATGGCATGGAGATTTTCAAATTGCAGGCCAGATTGCGTTGCGCAACAGAAATGGTGTAGGCTTTGTGATTATCATTGAGAGACTCCCTCATCTCCATCCAGAAGCCCATGACCACTGGGGTAGTTCTGTCTGGGAAGAGGATGAAGAAGGCAGCCTACTGCAGATCAGTAGTCTGAAGCAAACAATCTACCTTGATGATCTCATCCCTGCAACCACGGCAGTGAGACTATTGGACTGCACTGACAACAAATGCCTTCCCAATCCGCTGGAAGTACCATTGCCGGGCACAGCAGATCAAGTACGCATTGAACTGACTGCGTGGGGACACCAATGCAGAGTCTTCCCATGCTATGAACGCAATGTGATGCTATGTATTGACTCAGAATGTGAAGAACCCACTGACATGATTCATTATTTCTTCTGCCATGATGATATTCATGATCAAGATGGATGCTTTCTTCACAGCGCGAAATCGGAACTTCAACAAGGAGAACTCATGACATTCCTATGCTCGTTGGGATATGCCAGAGCAGTCATTCTTGATGTCCTCTGGCTATGCCCGAACTGGTTCAAGGTCAATTTTCATCATAGTGAACCACAGCTTGCACCTTCGCAACCTCCTGTGCGGACAAGAACACCATGGTTGAGCACTTTTGGCCACCAGCGCACACAGCATAGACTGGTTGAATGCACTGACAGGGAGCCACTTCAAGCCAATTGTTCTCTTACCACAGCGTTTGATGCCAAGGACCTGCACACACTTTTCAGTTCTGGGATCGACATGCTTTGCACTGATTTCAGCCCCATCGATCTCACACCGGAACTACAAGAGCAGCTTGCACGTTGGCCCATTAGACCACTACAACAAACACAGGACCTTGATGCATATGATCGCCTTCTCATCTTTACAGATGGGTCGTCCATGCCAAGCATGCGACGAATGGTGCCTGAACGTGCGGATGATCTTGGTCACCCTGACACATGGGCCATGATTGTCATTGGAGAAGTGTTCGATCAACAGGCGCCCACGGGCACGAACCTCACCATTCTTGGTTGGACGGCGCATCCCGTGAGATGGGATCCTGATGGATCTGCCTTCACCGGTATCAGCAGAATCGGTTCAGATATGGCAGAGCGAGATGGTCTAATTGGTGCAGCAATGTGGCGCTTATCTTGCAACCACGCCATCCCCACGGTGGTGTGTACTGACTCAATGTTGAGTGCGGGCCAGGCTAGTGGAGAGACAGGTACGGCGCATCTGGACCAGTCGTTTTGTCTCATGAGAGCGTTGTACCAGGCCCTTGACTTGGCGTTGCCCAATGGCGACTTCTTGGTTCACCACGTGAGAGCACACGCGGGAGAACTTTTCAACGAGATAGTCGACGTAGCGGCCAAGCAGGAAGCCCTCCGTTCTTTCAACTTGCCACGACAAAGACTTGACATGCGTGTGTGGCGTGACAAACTCTTGCAGATTTGGACACTTTTTGGTCAGAAATGTGGTTTGCCGTCCTGGCAGGATGGAGGCTTTGATGTCTCTGCGCCGAATCTTCCGCAGAGCAACAACGAGCACATCTCTGAAGATGCAGCCACTGAGCATGCTGGTTTTGGCCATGACATTGTGGACTTCACCTGCAGCTTTGCTTCTGCTAATGTGCAATCACTTTATCGTGGGCCTTGTGGACATGCTGGCAAATTGCGTTTCCTTCAACAGCAGATGCGCTATTTTCAGCTCAACTTCCTTGCTGTACAGGAAGCGCGCTCTGAGCAGGCTTTGACCAGTCATGACAAAATCCTTCGTATTAGCACAGGTCACTGCAATGGGCAATATGGCATTGAGCTTTGGGTCGATTTACTGCGCCCCTTCTGTCTCCTTGGCAGTGCCCACAAACCATGTGTTTTTCGCAAAGAGCATTTTGTTGTTGTCCACTGTGATCCCCAACGCCTTCTAGTGCATTGTTTGGCTGAGCAACTGGACCTTTGGATTTTTTGTGGCCACGCACCCCATGGGGGACATGTAGCACAAGATCGACATGATTGGTGGCAAACAACGCAAAACATCCTGGACCAGCACGTCACCAACAGACATTTGATACTCTTGCTTGATGCCAATGCAGCACCAGGAGAACGAGACGACATTGTCGTCTTCTCGGACGGCTTTCAAACATCGGTCAACACCCCTGACTTCAGGGAGCTCTTGACTGCCTGAGAACTCTACTTACCTGCCACAAGTAGAGTCCACACTGGCACCAATGCCACTTGGCTCAGCCTTGATGGAGAGACCGAGCATTGTATTGACCACATTGCCATACCATTATGCTGGTGGAGTGCATGCACACACTCACAGACGCTTCTTGACTTTGACCTGGCGAACACTCATGATGATCATAGAGCAGTTGCCGTGCAATTACAATGGAGAGAAGTGATCATGTTGCAGCCATCTACCAGCAATGGTCGTGCCTCTGCCAAGCCGTGCAAATATGTAGCCACGACGACACACAATGAGGCCATCAAGAGCATTCCTGTCCATGCTTGGAATGATGATGTCGAAGTGCAAGCAACAAGCCTCACGACTCACCTCCGAGAGGTCTTAGAGAAAGCTCAACAGCCCATCAAAGAAGGCCCGAAAAAGCCCTATATTGATGATGTGACATGGAAAATCCGTGCAGAGAAGATTGCCGTTCGCAAGCGACTTCAAACCACCAAATGGCACTTGCAGCGACAAGCTCTACTACGGTGCTTCTATGCATGGCGGAATGATCACTTGATTGTGAATGAAGCAACATTTGACTCCAGCAGTAGGTACATCACCACGCTGATCTGCCACAGAGTTCACATCTTTGCAGCCTACAAAGTTGTCTGCCGGCAACTTCGTAAAGTGCTTGTCACGGCAAAGGGCCGAGCGCTCAAGTGCACCATGGATGCCATCGGTGAAGACACACCAGCTTCAGCCGTCCTTACGCAATTGAGGGCATTTGTTGGACCAAGCAACCCCAAGAAGTTCAAGCATAAGCCGCTGCCCATGATTCGCACAGCTGAGGATCAAATTTGTGTGACACCGCAAGACATCACGGATGCTTGGGTCACGTTCTTTCAAACA